TGTCATTATTATTTAAAAAAATTGCGTTAATCAATTGCGTTACAACACATTATTATTTAAAAAAAATTAAAATACTTCATTATTCATATAAATAATAAAACACTATAAAAAACCTCAGTGAAAGGTAATTAGTACATATATTTTCATTGAGAAATAATCTCTCCGTGTTCATTATTATTTTTCAAGGAACTAAAAATAAAGGAAAAATACTCATAATGATTACACATATTTTTTTCCTTTTCTTTCTTTCTCAACCCCAGCTTGTTCACTAATTGCTATGTACGGTTTTCATATTTTTTGTAAAGAGAAATGATAAATAACTAGAAAAAAATTAAAAAAAACTCAAGTAATTTGGTGGCATATCTAGTTATTAAATGAGAAAATACAGTTATTTTGAATTATTTTTTCATCCAGATAAATTTTTTGATGAGAATATCCCTTGCAAACATGAAATTGTTATTAAATGAGAAAATACAGTTATTTTGAATTATTTTTTCATCCAGATAAATTTTTTGATGAGAATATCCCTTGTTTATCACAGCAAACATGAAATGTTTTTTATTGGGATCATTATTTTTCTTAAAACAAAAATATTTCATGATTGCTATAGGAAATTAATAAAAAATATCAAAATAGTATGTTCACATTTTATATGTGATTGAAAGCTAAAAAATCATAAATGTAATAAAATCATGTTCAAAGTCTATTAAAAAATTAAAAAAATTAAAAATAAGTTGAATAAAATCTTCATGATTAATTTATTCTCAACATTATTATTTTAAAGTCAAATACATAATAATAAAAAAATAGTATAAATCAAATAAATAATTATAATAGTATTTAAGAAGCATATTAAAACTAAAAAATAAATGAATTTAATAAAACAAGAAGGAAAATACAGTGAAGGCGCAAGCTCATCACATCCCTCGCACTAAAAGGCAGGCTAGTGCGGGCTTGGATCAAGCCCGTACGACTAGACTGGTTCATCCACCCTTTTATTTATTTATTTTTGACTAGACTGGTTCATCCACCCTTTTATTTTTTTTAAAAAAAAAATTAACAAATAAATGTTAATCAATTAAGCTATCACATAAAATTATTATAAAACAATTAAGAATAAATATTAAGATTTATTGTTCATATAGACAATAAAAGCAATATAAAAAACTCCCGTTTATCTAATTAGTACAAATGTTCCTATTGAGAAATAACATCTTTGCATTAAGTTCTTTTTTTCAAGAAATAAAAGAATAGGAAAGAGGTAAAAATAAAAGAAAAAACAGTCATTGTGTGATTACATATACCTTTTGTCTTTTTCTTTCCTTCTATTTCCGTCATTGTTTGATATTTGTTGCGGTTTTCATCTTTTCTTTCTTATAAATTCAGGCTGCTTGGGATTCTTTAAATTAAATTTAATTAATAAGTTTTAATGAAATCTTATGTCTAAAATTTTTATTATCGAGAATGGAATTTCAAGTAAGATTCAGCATTTAAAATATCACAAAAGTGAATTAGAGATCAAACCCTCTAATTTACTAAATTTAAAATAATTCAATAAGAGCATTCTATCTCTTCTAAACATATAAATTCAATTTATTTATTAATTAAATTTAAAATAAACATTATAATTGAATAATAAAGAATTAATTTCAGACAACTTTGAACTGGACAATTTTAAGCTGCTATCCGCCCGGTTTCAGATCATTTGGAAGTTATAAAGCTCACAGGGATTACAAGAAGTTCCCCGCTAAAATTGCTATAAATTAGGTTCCCATGAAAAGAGATGTTGGGTTTATAAAGGGCTTAATTATAAGGGTTGGGTTTCGTGTTGGGCTTTGATAAGCCCATTCAATTAAGTTTAATTGGGCTATAGTAGGTTAAGTGTTTAATTACGCCTTCATGGGTTATTATATAGTTAACACACATTTATGGCCCATCATATAGTTTTTAGCTAGTGTGCTAGGTGGACTAATACATGGACAGTATGCCGGTTTAATTTTTATTTGTATTTAAATAAAGCGGATTGATTATAAAAATGTTAGATAAGCGCCATTTGAGAAGTATTTTTTATGATAATTTCTGCATTTTCCTTCATTTATCCCAAAAACAACCTATGACACGAGGATTGCACGCACGTGGAGATTACTTGTCATCTGTACTTAAAGAGTTACTGCCGCATTGGATGTCGGTTCAGATCTATTGCATCATCGCATGGGTCCTGCAGTCTCTTTATTCAGAATCCACGTCATTGTCTATCAGCCCAATGAATGATGAGCGGGGTATAGATCTATAAATTTTAATTTCATATCTTCGAGGGTTGAATTTAATCAACCATGTCTTCTTCTAGCCCAATCACACTCTAAAATTAAAAATAAAAAACTACACCATATATATTTTTTGAATTCCAACCCTTCAATCAATGAAATGGAAGGCTGATGTCAATGTGAGAAGGAAGGGTGTTGTTTAACTGTGATGGAGGGAGGGCGGAGGTGTGGAGAGAGAGCGTAGCGGGGTTAACAATTGGCGTGGCTATCGAGTTTCTTCGGTGGAGGGTAGGCGTTTGCGGTGGTGGTTATTTGCTGTTCATGGTGTGGATGGGATCAAGTGTAAAACCCAGTCTTGGAAATTAACCTTATCAAGTTCTACTACAGACTCAAAAATCTGCAGAGCATCTCCCATGCTTAATTTAACATTTCAGAAAACTCAGTCTTGACCCCAGAAATTATGTCCATAAAGTCTTTCTTAATCCCAACTGCTCTTGGACACCTTTCTAGTTCTGGCATGTCCATAAAGTCTTTCTTAATCCCAACTCCTCTCGTACACCTTTCTAGTTTTGACCTTGGATTAACTTGGAGTTTGCCTAGAAGCGAAGATTGCAATGCAAAAGGAAGCTCGTATGTGTTTCAGTCCACAGCAGACAGAGTAAACTGTCATACAAAGTCGACAAAGTAAACTATTATACAAAGACACCATTAATTTGGGACTGTTTGGATGTGAAGTTCGCACATTTCTCAACTAGCCATCGTCAGGTTCGATGGCGGAGTGGTGAACGAAGTGATCTTTGTCGCCGATAACTTTTTCATTAGAGATTGATTTGCATGTTTTGACTGTACTGGATTTGCAGGCAAGAGAACGAGGAGAGAAGAGGTTGTGGCTAGGGTTGGAGAGAAATTGCTCCTTTTTTTTTTTAAGATTTGCAGCGGAGCGCTCGCTAGAAAACTAGCAATGTTACTTAAAAAGGTGGCAAAAATTCAGCCATGCACTTACCGCTTTTTCAATAATATTAAGATTTTTCTGTAGTTTATAAATTTAATATTCGTTTTTTTTCATTGTATATTATGTTTAAGAGCTCATATCTACTTGAGATGTTTCTTTAATTATCTATCGGAAGAAATTCATGTCAGGTGCACGGGGATTCAAATTTCAGCAGGACAATCCAAGACAAATAGATAAGCTAGCTCAAGTGCAAAATATTCAAGCTCAAGCCCATATCTTGAATTAAGTCAGATTGTGGAGGATTCGAAAACAAGTGAGGCATCATTGCCTACCTTCACATGGTTAGTCGGCCTTTGGGCCGAGAAGGACTCAGTTTTACCATCTTCAGCCTTCTTTTGTGCACTAAAATTAAATCTCTCTTTAGTCGAGCTTTAGTAAAAATACTATGTTATCGGTCCATATGCATTAGATAAAATTTTTTGATGATAAGTAAAATAAATTAAAGGATAATAAAAACCCAAATATTGAAAAAACCAATCCAAGCATATAAATCTAAAAATAACTTGGATGATTGGCAATGTTTCTAGTAAACTTATAATGAAGATGTGATTATGACGATTCTATATAAAATAAATTAGAACAAAATAATCATAAAAACCCAAAATCTATTATGACTGTACAAAATAAAAGCCTAGGGGTATAGGGCTGGCTTGGATGGCCCCGCATGTTTAGGCATTTAAAAAGAAACGGGCCTTTAGCCTTAGACTTGCACGCATTGACGTTGTTCATCTATTTTTATTAAAAAAAAATAAAAGTTTGAAGTTAGCCTAATATTTTCTTTATGTTTTACTTTTTAGTCTTTATATACTGTATCTGTAATTTCAAGTCTAATACTATTGAAATAGGCTATAGAAGGGTTAAATTGAAATGGAAAAAAAGTTTTTTGTAAAAAATCAGGTGGTTCACTGTTCATTTAAACAGTAAAACTTACCTAATCTCTTTTAGTTCTTTGTTAATATATCCTCATCCATTTTTCTACATTCACAATTGTTTTTTAGTGTTTTTTTCCCCTGAAATTTAAACCTTAGATGGTAACGCCGAGAAGAAACCTCTTACTGACCAGCTAGGTCTCGAGGTAAACTTTAAGAAGAACAGTAACTTAAGAATTGGTTTTACAATTATCCTTCTATGTTTTGGTCTTGTTTAAAATTACTAGTGGGCTGGAAAGACCAGAAGCAACTCTAGCCTTACAGGCCGAATGCCGAGGTGAAATATAGATAGTTGGCCCAGATAAAAGGAAAAGGAACGCAAAAAGGCAACTTCATTATACCAAAAACCAATAAAATCATGCCTGCCAAGAGGCAAGCAGAATTTTCTCTCATCATCAATGTAGAAAAGTAGGAATCCAAACGCATATACACGTTCCAAACCAGCGATTATAGAAAGCAGTGGTTAGTTTCAATTGCAACTTGCGCATGATAATGAGTGTTAGCAAAGCACTCGAATTCTTACTCAAGAAAACAGAAAAGGTAGCTAATAATTATAGGTAATTGGGGCAGCCCAATCATATCAATCTCAACTCTCCTGTATACACCTGCTTCGCCCCCTTGAGTATTTATGCAGTCCCAATCATTCATGAATGGATGGTACAGGACAACCCTACATGTTTATCGTATACAATCATCATCTTTTTCCTTGGAAGTCGGACATCATGTCCGATGAGATGCAAAGGTGGTCAGACTATGCTTGATTAAAATGGTGTTAGCTTATGTTGGCTAAGAAAATTAATCTAGCAATTCATGAAGAATTACATTATTTATGTACCCAAAATCCAAATCAATACAAAAGAAGCTGAAAGCTCTACAATGTTAATTCAAATTTACAGAGAAAAAACAACTATATATTAAGTTCTTATTCATTAATTAGATAAAGGATGCAGGGGGCCTAAGAAACTCGGCCAGCACCCGCATCTCTCTCTTATTTTTCCATGTCATTGACACCATCAAAGAAGAGCTCATGCAAAAACATTTGCAGAGGCTAAATTGAGATGACTTGTTAACATACGTGCTAAAAGAAGAAGTTATTAAACTGAGATGGAGTTTGTGACTCTTCAAGATCATGGGACGGGGAATGAGCATGTCTGCCTTCATAGGTTGTGATGACCATCCTTGGATCCTCAGCTAATCTCTCCACACGTTTCTTGACGCGACAATTGTCTTGCGTACAACGATAGTAGCTCCTGGGTTCAAAAAACCGAAGAAATTTATCACCGGTTTGAATGCAATTAGCAGCAAATTTAACTGTGCAAGTCAACCCAGAATGCTTTAACCCGAGCAACACTTATGGTATCATGTAGGCATGATTTTCCAAGCATATAATATCAACACTTTCCACATATCCCGACTAAGAAAGAAAGTGGGAGTGATGTGACTAGTTACTGCCTGTGCTTGGTTTGAATTTGAAAGACATGCTCCAAAAGATAATTATAGCACTTGCATGTGACACTTTCTTCCAAATTGGGAGTATCCCTTGGGGTATATAATGTACGGAGATGATACAACAATACACCTCCTTTATCAGGGAAAGGTGCAGAAAATTGCTTGAAAATGGAAGAATCTAAGGGCATGCATGTCCACATCACCAGCAGCTCTATACGTACACACACCAAGATCATAATGATCAAGATAACTTTAGAGCATGGAAAGTCGGTGAAAATTCAATGATGGCACATGGCAGCCCAAAACTCAAAGATAAGGGAGGAGAGTTCAAGATATATAAGAAGGATTAAGCATGTTATGGAGGCGGAAAAAGTCGTCAGCTTCTAGAAGTAGGAATGCGACACTGTACCAGCAGAAATAACACTAGCTAGATGCATACACAATCTAAAAATCAAGCAATATTTCCTCCAGAACTCTTATGTTGAAGCCGTGCATTTAGGAAAGCAAGGTTTTGGGTATGCCAAAATGTTTGTTTATGCTCTAGAGCGTAACGTCCTCTTGAATTGATTGTTCTTGAGAGGATGAGATCAAACTAAGCCATTATTGAAGGCTCTGGTCAGCATAAAGGATTGGAACATCCACAATATTGTGAAAAAAGAGAATTAATGCTGTTAATAGAGTGAACATGATTTCAACCCTAATCTACTGATCTCAAATTTTCAAATTTAAAATCTTGGTTGCTACTTTTTTCAGGCAATTAAGCCTTCTACTTCGCAAAAGGAAAAGAGTTCCATATATTTTTGTTTTCCTCGTATATTCTATCTTTGGATCTATTCTAACCACATAAACAAAATCATGTAATCATAAGATTTTCCCTTTTTAACTTCATGTGTAAATGGGTTTGTTTTCCATATAAACATATTTATTTTAATTCAAAAATATTTTTTTTATTAAAAGCAACGTATAATAGGAATTATTCCTATATAAAAAAAGCCTCAAACCTAAAGTTAGTAGTCAAAGTCGTATGCAAATCATCAAAAATTGAACTTCTGACATTAGTGTAATTGATTACCACAATCTAATACTTTTGTAAAATGAAATGAGAAAATTTAAAATTCATATACTCAATTGATAAATAGGCAATTATTCCATCTTTAATGTATGGTCTGATATATATATAAGCAATTTGCAATCCATAATATTCTATCTACGTATATATATATATATATATATATATATAAGCATTGCAATCCATAATATTCTATCTATAAAGATGTATAAAGAAGTGAGAATAAAAGGTGTTTAGAGCAAGACAAAAACTAAAGTAGCATGAATTCCTTCTAGCCAGCACAGGGTAATAATCTCTTAGGCCAACCCGTGTTGTATCACATTTATTATTTCACAAGTACATACAAAATCAGAATCACTCACGTACAATAAAAAAATAAATCGTTGAAAAGATCACATTTTTAAAAATATTTTATTTATATATTGAAATAATTTTTTATTTTAAAAATTTATTTTTAATATCAATATGTTAAAATAATCTAAAAAAAATTTTAAAATTAATTTTTTTAAATAAACTCAAGTTTTTACAAAAGATGCTTTCCAACAACAAAAATAAACAGGTTATGTTTTTAAAAACTCTCCCGTCCTCCAAGCCACTTGAGAAAAGTGAAATCCACGTGGTTAAAAGACAAGTAAATTAATTTTTTTTAGATTGTGATATGTAATTGTTGTTTTTCTGTTAAAAAATGTATTAAATTAATTTTTTTTTTAAATTATTTTTAATATCAATACATCAAAATATATGTACTAAAAAAATTAATTTAAAATAAAAAATTTTAATTTTTTTTAAAATATTTTTAATAAACAAAAACAAATAAACTTCATAACCTAACCCAAGTTAGTGATGCCAAGGACATTCACTGTTATGGAGCAAAAACTTATTTGGAAATGAAAACTGCCTTTTGACTTCATCGGCACAATTTCATTCCAAAGCGAACTCAAGAAAAGAAATCACATCCATTGCTCAAAACAAGCGAGATAAATGCTCATGCATGATTATGCAGGATTCAAAAATTCAAAACTGATATCATTGCCGTAGAATTTTCTTCTGCGTTGTAAGAAATTTTGATAAGTGGTCATTAGAGAAAAGCAAGATTCAACTGCTTAAAAGCACTATATATGCACGGCTAAACGTGCTCTTCTAGAAGTGTTGGTGTGCAATTGTCTTCTGTACTCTCTCTCACCTTCCCGTTGCAGTGTTTCCCCTGTCATAAAGCAGTTCTGACGAGGGGACAAAGAGATTGCAATAAACTAGAGTTTTTTTCACCTAAAGTAGCCTGACTGTCTGCATGTAGGCTGTGAACTGAATGCGCAGAAGCCAACATGCGTCAGTGTGAATGAATGCATGAACTCAACTAAACAAATGCCATAGCTTGAACAAAAAATATTACTGACAGAAACTAGTGATAATTAAGGAAATTTATGAACACACACACAATATATGAAACTAGTGATAAGGAATGATGATGTATGTGTTGCAGTAAACTGTCTTTACTTGCATCCCTATCTTTCTCATTTGAAACTCTGCATTCAGATCCAAACATTTTCATATGGTAACTGATGACGGATTTCTTCATACCTTTTCTATATTCCTTTACAGTATTTAGCATGAAACAATAACACAACGTGATCGGAATGTTCAGTCAAGATTCGTCTACTATGGTATATCCTCTAACTTTAAGAATTTCTGCTCGAGTTAGATCTTCTACTTTCCTTAGCATACACCATTATAATTGATCAGTTGTTGCACATTTTTTAATACTTCATTTTAGATTTCTGTCCTGAAAAGGTAATAATTACTTCTTTTTGGCCCCTTTCATCAATTTTTTTATGGTCAATTAATGATGCATCAATATGATTGATATTCTCACATAATATTTATCCATAAACATCTCCTGCCAAGCCTGTAAAGCCTATTCACAATGATGATGAGAGAGAGGGGGGAGAGATAGGAACATAACACATGTGTATGTGGGATACAACTAAAGCAACGGCTAAAATACAAAGTGATATCAACTTTATTAGATGATAGCAATTGATCTCTAGATTGAATATCAAACCTGGGATGCTGTGTGTTCTTTCCCACTTTCTGGCCGTACTTCCTCCATTTGTAACCATCATCCAGCACATCCACATCACTCAAGGTCTTGAAACAAAACCGGGGCTCTCTCACCTTCCTCCTTGCTTTTATCTTCTTCAACTTTATTGTTGATACCCCTAGATGATCTCCTCCAGAACCACTTCTTTTGCTGTTCAAGCACTCATTTACCTCTCCCCAAGCCCTGGAAACCATTTAAAACACAGACCCTAGTTCATTAGGGAAAGAGGACTGCCTGAATGAATATATATACCTACTTTGGTTGGGTGAAATTAACAAAGTTCTATGGATCAAAGGACTACCTCATTACTATGCATGGCTTAAACAAAATCCCTTCTTCTTGTCATTTTAACAATATTTAACTTCTATAATATATAATATGCGATCTATGTACAAGTACTAAACAAGGATGTTAAATGATGATCCTAACCTAGATTACATGTACTAAACAAGGATGTTAAATGATAATCCTAACCTAGATTATACTCATACAATTTATTTGCTCCTTTAACAGTTAAAGGAGAGGGAAGCCAGAAAACAAAACAAATCCACTCAAAAGGAGATTTGCATGGTTTTCTTCTTAAAAGTGTGATCTTCTTACCAGAGATTTGCACTGGATCTTTGCAAGGAAAGAAGATGGGGTCCTCCCAAATCAGAAGCAATAGTGTCCTCTCTTTGCTTGTTAGTGGCAGATGAGAGTAGTAGGGTTTCAGTAAGATTGGTGGTAGAAGGTGCATCAGCCGCAAGTGAAGGAGGTATTATGAAGCCTTTGAGAGACTGGTGGCAACTAGCCGATTGAGGATAGGTCAAGTGTGGAGGAAAAGAAAAGAAGCCCATTTGTGTAGGCATCTCTTGATCTTCAAACAAGGGCTGCTGGTTTAGTGTAGCTTGGGAGGTAGCTGCCATCTCTCTCTCTCTCTCTCTCTCTCTCGAAGATAGAACACCAGTAACTAATTGTACCTTTGGTTTTATGTGAGAAAAACCTGGCAAGGAAGATCTCTAAATGATCACAAGCAAGCAGCCTATATTAAAACAAGCGAAGACAAGAGGGCTTCTCTCTCGAACTCCCAGAAACAATATAAGAGAGAATTGTAGAGATAAGAACCTGAGTACCTATAAATATGACCAGCCACTTTCCCTTTGAGCTCCCTTTTGCCTCTATCTCTCTGTATGTGCAAAAGAGCCTTTTAAATCTTTTAGCTCCTCTCGTTTGAACTTTTTATATAGTTGATCAGGAATGGGATACAGGAAGAAAATATAAAAGGGGAAGAAGCCTGTGACTGCGATAAACATTTTAACAATAAAAAGTGCATAGACTTTTTACAAACTGAAGTTGGTTTTCACTTTAAGTGATTTTGTGCACCACATTTACTGTTTGCCCTCAAAAGCATTAGAAATTTTGTGTCCCTAACGAGTTAATGGAATTTCCCTGTTATCTCTGCAAGACGGAGGTCAACAATAGACGACAGGGGGGTTAAATACTGTGGAAAGTAAAATGATTTTTAGAAGAATGAGATTGAATAACTAGTTATATTAAATAAATTGATAGATAGATTTATTCGGTAGAATATAATTAAAAAAAATTATATTAGTTTAGTTTTTTAATAATTTAAAATTTTATATTTATAAAAAAACTTTTAAATATTAGAGAATATATATATATATATAATTAATAGAAAATGATTCCAATATTGTAATCCTTATAATTACTGTTGTATTCTACCATATATATATATAATTAATAGAAAATGATTATATATATATATGGTAGAATACAACAGTAATTATAAGGATTACAATATTGGAATCATTTTCTATTAATTATATATATATATATATATATATATATATATAAAGATCAGCTAAAAAACATTATAGCACGTATGTATATATCAAAATATTAATAACACTAAAAAAATAAGCTCAGAGAAAAATACTTAATAATTTTTTTTTATTTTTTACATTTTTCTTGTTATTGAATTTTTTTTATTTTAAATTACTATGTTTTTATCTTTTATCACATCTATTTTTCTACAAACAGATCCAATTGGAAAGAATTTAATTTGGATACACAAATAGCTGGTTCGGTTATACATTATTTTCTTTAAAAAATGGCTGTTTGGTTCTTTTTTTCATTTTTTCTCACCAGATCGCGCCCTCTCACTATATTAGAAACAGACAAGGGGTGAATTACATGTGAATCCAGAGAAATTTCAGAAAGTGAAAAGAGGAGATGATACATGAATGATAGTATTACTGTCTAGCTAGGGTTTCTTTTGTTAAATTGTTTTTACTAGGGTTTCTTTCTTTTGGGTACCCCAAAAAGAAATATCAGGAGTAATGATGATGAATCTTGGGTGCAAATCTCTCACTCTGAATATCGACGGTGAAGATATCATTATGATTGATGAGAGAGGCCCTATTTGACTTTATGCAGAGAGAAAAAACCTCCCAGCTTTCTCATTTGTCACTACTTTTAGCTATATCACCTTTTACATATGTATGTATACTTCCTGCAACCCCACATCTACCCACCATTCTCAAATTCCAAACCAAACTATTATGGTGTCATGATCCCTTCGATTAAACATAATAATCCTTGGTTACTTTCTGATGTCTTTCCTCGTTAAAAACTCTTTGTGGGTCGCAATTCTATTGCTATCATAATATTTCTCTTCCTTTCTGTTTCTCAAAGCAGGCCATCAGATTATATTTTCTTTAACTTACAAACTAATTATGCTCTCACTGTACTTGGGCCAATGTGGTTTAACTTGGATAAAATGATTAACTAACTCCATTTAGTAGAAAATAATGAGTCAATAAGGAGATCTAAGACTCTATGTGTTGGTTAAAATTCGTAGGCAATTAACTGGAAATAACTAACAAAAACTGATCTAGGCATAGGGACTTGCCATAAAGAATTCTTATTATGAACCATGCAAGTTCAAGCAAGAGATTTGGTGATAATTCAATTCAAAATGAAACTCATGCTCGCATGAACAAGAGATTTGTTATCGTTTAAATCTAGAATGGAAGATTCAAGTTTAGGAAAAAAGAAAAAAGAAAAAGACAAGTGGTGGCATATACTATCCATGTTTTAATTTAAAATATACAGTTAAAGCTTAGACTAAAGAACGTCCACCAAAATTACAAGAAAATACTGTAAGAAATAATTTTCCATAGCTGAATTTGCAATAAATATGCTGTTTAAGAGATAAATACTTTTAAAAAATATATTATTTTTATAACTCAATATTATGAGAGTGTAGAACAATATGTAGTAGTAGCTTGCAAAACAAAAAGGGTTAAATGTTGATTCATAAGTACCTCTGTAATCCTTTGGCTAACCTAAGAAATAATAATTTGATTATAGGAAAAGGACTATCTTACTCTTCTTTAAATTATTGCTAAATCTAGCGTAGGTCCTTCTGCTGGAATATACAATCTCAAGTAATAAAATTTAGGATGCGATTGGAGAACGAAGCTTTTAAGCATGATAAAAAGTAACAAATGGACTTTTAAGGTAATCTACTCTCATTTTCACACACGAAAAAAATACTATGAATGGTAATATTAAGTTTTCGTGTCAAATGCAAGTAATGTCCACATGCTCGTGTTGTGATTATCTAACGCGTAAAATGGCACATGTTATGATATTTGCCATGCGTTCTTAGTAATAGTTAGTATTTATAAAAGATTTTTTTTATGGACATGAGACTCGTAATTTTATAAAAAGAGAAGGTGTAATAATATTTTAGGAAAATATACTCTAAAAGTATATATGCAATAAAAAATAAAAAGATCATGAACATTTAACTTGAATGATTCATGATGTATTTATAATCCATAAATATTATTATTTTGTGAAGAGAAGAGAGGTTGGAATATAATTTTATTTTTATAATATTTTGAGTTATATTCTACTAAAAATAATACGTATTGGATTAATATAAAACATTGAGTGACCAATGTAGAGTCTTTAAAAGATCTCTAGCAAGTGTTGGGCTCTAGCCTGTTAAAGGTGAGAAATGGATCCAAACATGCTACCTAAATCCAAGCATGTTGGGCTCGGGATGTGCTCTTGAGCCCGAGCATGTTGAGTTCGGGTGTGGAAACCCGAGTCTACAGGGATGTTGGGATACACGTCTGGCACCGAAGGTGATGAGCATATCACGTTTATATTGGGTGTGTGTCTTGGCTTGGGCTTCTTACCTGAGCCCATGCTCCATATAGAGTTAGGCTTGAGTTACCACGTCTGAACTCACTCTCTTTAGCTTCTTATTGTATTTTGAGTTTAGAATGTTAAACATAAATCTAATAAATATTTTTGTTGGGTCTATTTTGAAAAAATATTTAGGTTTATTTTAGAAATTTTTTAGATCTATTTTTTGATATTCATCTATTATGAATAACATGTTTAGCATTTAATTAAAAAGTAATTTTTTAGTTTTAAGGTGAAAGAAAAAAAAATATACTGTAAGAGAAAGATAAAAACTTTTCAGTCGATCGTTGGTCATGGTGAAAACCATAAAAAAGTGAAAAAAACAAAAAAAAACTACAGGAGCATATTCTTGCGTGGACATGATGCGGCCGTGATGTCACAATGCTACGTCCCATTGATAAATAATAAATTGAATCATCTACAGAGATTGTTAAAATAATACTTTATAGCTCTTTCACTTTCACTTTTGGGCCCTGATTAAGTTAGGGATAGGGCATGGGGTGGCAAACTACATCATTTCCTTTTGTCTCTGTTTACAGGTGGCCATTATGCCACTTCGATCCTTTCCCTGTTTCTTTCTTTTTCGAAGAAAAAAAATCATTGTTGAACTAGTGAATGATTGTTTTCATGACATAATCTGTTTTTTAAATACTTTTTATTTTAAAATGTAAATTAATATTTTTTAATGTTTTTAATATTAAAAATAAATAAATAATTAAGAATTATGTTAATGTATAGTAGTAACTGACCGCCGGCCACAATACCATAACATGGTGGTGACAAAGCAAATTCACTTCATTCGGTTCCCATTATGTGTTCTACCAAGCATGCCCTTCACTTGGTTTGATGCCCCTGAGTGAATGTCTACAAGCTATTATGGATTATTCACAAATACTGTTACGTATGTGGTTCCATTTTTGAATGAAATTATTACATCACATGTACATGCCTTCATGTTTTATTACGAATGAGTTTAATTGGCAAATAAAAAGAATGCAATTCACTCGAAAATCAAGCTTTATGCCACTTGAGATTTTAAAATGTGTTTGGAATGAGGTTGAAACGTGTTTTTCAAGAGCTTGGAATTTTTTTAAAATATTTTTTATGTTTTTAAATTGTTGTAATGTGCTAATGTTAAAAATAATATTTTAAAAAATAAAAAAAATAATTTAATTTATTTTCAAATCAAAAACATTTTAAATCATAGCCACTATTAAATTTTCATGCATCCTCTAAATAACTTACCTAGGTGATAGGATTGGATATGAATTTACCTCTAGTGAAAAAAAATATTTTTTAATTTTAAAATTTTATAATATGAACTTTTAAATAGTGTAAGTACAAACAATATAAAATTATTAAAAAAAAAACTCACTTGTGTTAAAAACTTTCCAATCTCATTAAAGATTTATGGTAATGTCACCTTTTGCTTTGTGATGTGGCAATACACGCTCATTCCACATTGTGATTTTCTAATAAACTAGTTAACGCCCGTTGGGGGAGGGGGCGGTCCATTGTAATTCACAATTTATTTTTTAATTAAATCTTGACAAGTAATACTACTAATTTATTAATTTTTCCATTCAGTCAAGAGTCATTGTAAAATGGAAGTGTATGCTTATGTGTCTTCCTTATCTTTGTATTAGTTAGCAATGCTCCACAAAGTATAGGGTAGTCCTACATTTCTGTTAATTAAAACATTGTATTAATTGATATAATTAACTTTATTTGTATGAATCTTGTTTTATTTAAATGAAAATGATATTGAATTCAATGCTTAAGAGATAGATTAAGATATTTAACTCAAAACTTATTGATTGAAATAATTTTACAAGAAGCAGAACAAATTAATTTTAAAATATGTTTTTTCTTCTTTTTGTAAACTAAGTGTATCTAACATTCTCTATGCGTATTCAATTTATGTTCTTCATCGCTATTATTTTAAAAGAAAAATTAAAAAATGTTATATAATTCCATAATTTCATTAATAAGTGTCATATAATTTAATATCGTGATTTTTTTAATAATTTAAAAGATCTTCAATAAGAGCTCATTTAAAACTAGAATTTTGTTATA